ACCCCAAACACACCAGCACAGGCACCAGCCCGGGGGGCCACCCCCTAAAACCCAGCCACCAGCCCAGGGCACGCCACGCTCGGAGTGGACTCGGCGCTGAAGCTCGCCGTGCAGAGGGGTCCGAAGGGTCCCCGTCCTCCCGGTCCCAGCACGCCCCAGCCCAGCTCGCAAGGGCCAAGCAGGATCCCAGGCGGACACGTCAGCACGTCGGGCCAGCACTGCCCACCACGAGCCAGCTGCCTCCTGTCTCTCGCCTCGCCAAACACAGCTCGCCCAGGGGAACGCGCCGGAGAGCGGGATGGAAATAGCCATCTCTCAAGGGAGCCCCGAACGCCGTTTCACCCTTCTGCATTGTCCTGGAAAATTTCATGCCGGGGGGGGAAGCCACTGAAACGTGCACCTTTCCTTGGGTGGAGCTGCTCGGCCCCCTTCGCGCTCCTCACTTCGGCGCAAACAAGCAAAACCCTCCTGCCAGGTGTTGCACCACACGCTGAAACCCCTCTGAAAACAGAGGCTCAATGACAACGCGCTCTGTCTCACCGCGCACAGCGCCTTCTGCTCGCAGCAGACTCCTGGAAAGGAGTCACGGAGGAAATACCTCAGCAAGCACGAGACAAGGCTTTTTGGTTCTGGACTGGTGTTTCAGCTCCACTGACGCAGATGAAAATCCAAAGTTGCCAAGAGCTGCTACAATTCTGCTTTTGAGAGGTTTTATTAGTTTCTTATGACAATAGTTAAGCTCGGGACAGAATGGAATAGGTGATCGCATAACGCCTGCCAAAGGAGAAACAGGAGCGCCTGACGTGGAGAGGCATTAACGGGCTTGCTTGCAGTGTCTGCAGACTGGAGAATGGAAAGGTTCTAGCACACAGGTCCCCTGTGAGAAATATGAGGCCATTTCCCAAGGTATTTCCGCAGTTCACTTCTTACTCTGACGCTATTATATTGCAGATGCAAAGTTCAGCCACAAGAAGAGCTTTAATTAGTATACTGCAGCATAGCTACCAAGTTATATTTTACAAACATGAGCGGGAATGAAAGAATTTGGAGAAAAACCCTCTTTTCTTGAAAAGACATCTTTTCCTTACCATTTTTCTACCAACCCAGTGAGGAAGGATGGGAGCACAGGAACCCCTAAGGATTTGGTTTCCTCCTGCCAACCTGTGGATCGATAAAAAACGACCCCGAGCAGGTCTGCTGCCCACACACCCACAGGTTCCTGCAGTAACTGCAGTCACTTACGCAGCGAGAAGGACGAACCTGGCTTGCGTTTGCCATGCTTTATGGCAGTGTTTATCCTGCAGTCGGCAACGTGCACGGCAGGCAGCAGAGAGAGGAGCCTGCCAGCCAGGAGACAGCCGCTGAGACACGCCACTGATCCACGCCGGGTGCCCTGGCCCGCAGCGACGGCAACGGCACGCACAGAGGTGGGAATCCTCGATATGAAAAAAGCTTTTGGCAGCACCGCTTCAAACCACAGCTCCCAAACACACAGCTGCAGCACACTCGCTCCGAGCTGTGGCTTCCTGATTTCCCTCTCTCTCCTCCCTGTAGCTCATCGCCCTGGCATGGTCCGAGCAAGCCAAAGGCATCTCCCAGGCTCTGCTTTTGCTGTGCTAATGAAGCAGCCCGTGCTCTCTGTCTGTTTTCCAGCTTGTAAAGTGGGCTGGTATTCACATGAGCCTATTTACAGCTGTGGGCGAGTACCTGGAGGACACAGGGGTGAGCAATCCTGCAGCAGCAAGGAACCACCAGAGATGCACCATGCCCTAACCAAGATATGCTGTAGTTCAACTGGTGAGACCCAGCTCAAGGCAGAGGTCCCCTTCTCCTCCTTCTGGCTAGCCCAGGTATCAGTGCCTCCTTGGGAGTCACGTGAAGCTCTCAAATACAGCCCGGGAAAAACAGGCAGGGACTGCAGATCCTTCCACATCTGATGACTCCACAGCCCTGCTCTGGAAGCAAAGCTTTACAGCGAGGGCTGCTGGAGCAGGCAGGTCCCTTCCAGTTTGCTCAGTGCACAGCACAGCTGCGTCTCCAGCAAAAGCAGCTCCCCAGGATGAAGTTTCTTTCAGCTCTTCCAGGAGAGCGGTGTCTCTGCCAAACTGGGGCTGCCAGTCCTCAGCCACAGTGGCATTTAGAGGTGCTTCAATCAACAGAAATGAGGGACCGACGTGTAATATGGGAAATCTCTGTTCTCTGCCCCCTCCCTTGGCTCAGAGAGGTGTGAGCTTCAGCTAAAGTCCAACCTAATAAACTCACTAATCCCATAATAATCCAAGATCGAGTCTCGTTCTGGAAATACAAGTGTGGGAATATATTCAGGTCACAGCAGGTAAAAACGCCGCATTTAGCATCTCTGCCAGCCTCTAGCAGCAGCAGACTTCCCACAGCTCTGCAAGAGCCTTGACCACAGGGCTGGAGCGTTGCCCTCTCCTGCCTCCTCCCCGGCTCAGAGCCCAGCGGGCCAGGGACGCGCAGGGAGATGCTTCCCGGGAGAGTCAGTGCCCGCGTCGGAGCACCCAGCAGCTCAGGGCTGGCAGCAGAGCGCCCGGCCAGCGCAGAGCTCGCGCGGGTGAGAGCAGCGCTGCGAGCATCGGGCTGCCCTGGCCCCCGGGCTCCGAGCAGATCCAAACAGGGGTGGAAAAGCCAGTCCAGAAAAATCTGTTTCAACAGGGAAAACCTGCTTCTCTTTCCCAGGGAACACTCGTGGCACCAAAAATTAAGTGAATGAATGCATCATGCCAATACTGTGAAGCAGACAGGAATTGTGCTGTCCTTGGGAAAAATACATGAACATACAAATTCATTACCAAAAAAACCCCAAAACAGAAAAGAACTGAAATAAAGCACAGCTCTCTGAAAAGGATTTCTCTCCCTCTGGACTTGCATTTAATAACTGTAAAGGGGGCCGGGCACCTGAACCAAAGAGAAAATGCATTTTCAAGCGATTCCCTCTCCTGGCATGCATTTCCCAACGTACAGGGAGAGGCTGCTGAGGCTGGATCTGGCCAGAGGGAAACTGAAAGAGAGGGCAAGATCGCGACTGACGCCACAGAGGCACAAACACCACTTCCACGACTCTGCAGAGCCGCCAGTGCGACCGGTGCCCCCTCACCTCTCCATCCCATCAGTAGGTCAGTGGACAGTATGTGCGTGGATGATGACCTTCACCCGCTTCCTACCAAGCATCAAACCACCACACCGAAGGGAAGGCAAGGGCCAGCCCTTCCCACAGCCATAAAACAGCATCAGCCCCAAGCACACGGCGAAAGCTTTAACACATTTCAGGCACAAAGGGGGCTGCTGGTCCCTGAGGAGGGTCTCTTCGAGTACTGGCCACTGCTTTTTCACGGCTCTGTTTAGCTCACGACGCTGTGCGCTGCAGACCTCTGCTCTCCAACACGGAGGCAGGAGGGCTCACAGAGCAGGAGGCTGCCTGCCCTAATCAGCAGCCTCCAACCTGCCTCCCATCACTACAAGCTGCAGGGAGATGGAGAGCGTTCGCCGCAGGGATGAACTCGGCACAGGGCTGGGAGTCCGTGAATTCCACCATTTCCTACCTTCTCCCAAGGGCCTTGCTGCTTCCCAGCGCAGCCCTCCTGCCGCAGCGGCTCCCCCCCCCCCCCCGGCACGCCGGGTCTGTGTGAGCACAGGCTGGGCTGAGCAAAAGCTGCTGGGGTCAGCCCAGAGCAGGCTCAGTCCTGGGGCCCCTATTTCATGCCACTGCTTTGTGGAAAAGACCTTGCTTTGGCTCAGAGACGCAACACAGATTATCAGCAATGCTCCCCAGCAGCACCCTGCAAGTAGTCTGCAAGGAGCTGTTGAAACAACCGCTGCCAGAGCCCTGTGAGGAAGAAGGCACCTCCAGAGCACCAAAGCTCTACCCTCCGGCACAGCTCCCCCTCCTCCAGGCACGCTGCAGGCTGTGCTGCTGCAGCACTGGCTGCGCATGGAGACAGCCGCAGCAGGCACAGGCAACCCTGTTGGTCCGGGATGCACCACGTTTGCTGCCTCTGACACCCAAGTTTAACACCAAGCAAGCAGCGAAGATCACCATGGCTCTGCGATGCACTCGTCTGCCCCGCTGCCCTCCCACAGTCCCATCCTTACCAGCTTGGTTTTGTCCATGGCTGCCAGGACTGCGGAGTTGAGGGCTTCCAGGGCGGAAAGCACATTCCTGTATTCTCCGAGATATGCTGAGAAATAATCTGAAACAGCAGAGAAGACCATGGTGAGCTTCCTGAGGGCCTCCATCTCTGCCCGCCCCGCACCTCCTGCTCCCCGCACACAGCCCAGAGTCACGCTCCCACCCGGACTGACATGCAGAGTCCTTTTCAATCCCCAGGGACAAAACATCCCATCCCCTTGGGAAAAGCACAGATGCCCTCCGTGCTGGGATTCAAGCCCAGGGACTCTCAACGCCAGTTGGCTGCCCAGTCCTGCCCAGATCAGACGTGCACACAGCCCCACTGCAGAGCCTCGAGAGAGGAAGCCCTCCAAGGCAGGAGTATCACCCTACTTACCACACAATTTCTCTGTATCCACGTTACTGCAAGAAACAGAAAAAAACCTCCTGTTAGATGGTGGGGCTGGTTCGGGAGAAACAGCTGTGGTGTGTGAGGTCTTGAGGGCCTGCCTTGAGCCCCCAGTGGGTTTACTGCTCCTCCCATGAATTTTCAAAAGCTGTATTAGAAAAATAAAAAGCTGAACAAGTTTAGAGGCAGCAGCTCAGGAGCCATGTCCAGCACCCGCAGGGCTGCAGAGCATCACCTCTGCTGTGGGGGCTCAAGGAGCAAGCAAAGCTTCTCCACCAACATCTCCTGGAGTTGGAGTGTGCTGGGAAAGCGTCTGTGAGAGCAGGACGGGGCCAGGAGGGAGGTCAGGGGAGGCAGGCAGTGCCCTGCACCCCTGGGCAGCCCCGTTTCTGAGCCCTGGAGCTGATGAGCAGCAGCAGCTGCTTCTTCAACCCAACCTCTTCCCCAAAAGTGCAAAGCATTGAGCCAGGGCTCCCTCCTTGTGCCTCCCTTGACCTCAGCCCAGGTCCTCCCCCAGCCTGCCCCACGGCACCAGCCCCTGCCTCTCTCGTCTGCACCACAAGTGCCCCTGGGCGCTCCTCCTCTGCCCTGCCTTCAGAGCCTGGGGGGTGTGGAGCTGCCTTCAGGCTCCCCATGCAGGGGCTGGATGGCTTCACAGCCCACCACAGGGGCTGCTCCTGCCATGAAGGTCATTAAAGCAGTGAGCTGGGTACAAAAACCTGGAGGCGGGGGCCAGCCCCCTGCCCCTTTTAGGTGACAGAGCACTGCGCTCGAGAGGCAATGCTGGCATCCCTGCAGCACTTGCACTGGTCCCTCCAGTTGCTAATAAAGGCACTGCTGGGGTGAAGAGGGAGGAAGAAACGTCTGGAAACAGTCAAATGTTTTCAGGACGGGACGTCAAGCGGAACCACGGGCTCGCATGAAGCTGCTGGATCCGCTCAGGTGGCCGACGCCACAAGGCAGAGCAGCTTGCGATGCCCGGCACCACCTGCAGAGCCCGAAGGGAAATGCCCCAGGATATTGCTTGTTCAAATCAGCCTCCACTGCAGAAATTCTGCTGTCTCAAAATACCTCAAATGGTTACAAGCATTTTTAATCCTTACCAGGAAATTGGAAGAGAATACGAACGAGAGTTTAAGTGTTTCAGTGCCATCACACACGGAGGAACCAGCGATACCCGGGTTTGCTGGGCTCCAAGCTGAGGACAGCTGCAGTGCCGCCGCCCAGGGGAAGTCAAACCGCAGCCACATCACCCTGTCACCCTGCTGACACTGCTCACAGGGCAAAGGGGCAAAAACACCCCAAGGTAAAATGAGAGGAGAGTGTGGGGAGTGTCCAAAATGCTGTGCCAGGAACAGGAGTAATAATTTAAACAAAATCTTCCTACCGCTTTTCCTCCAAACATCAAAGACTGGTTTCTGTGTCTCCTTTTCTGCTGGGCTTCCACTTAGAGTGCTTTAACAATAGGCAGTGCTTCAAGTCATGAAAATATTTTGGTGCGAGACGTCACCGCAGAGCCACAGCAGCGGGACTGCAGACCCCTCCGTGCAGCTAACTGCATCAGGCGCCTTCTCAGCCAACGGACACGGGCAGTTTTAGGATGTGATCTGGCTCATCTATTTTAAACACCTACCGCAGGAGCTGATTACGGCAGGGCTCTGGCGCGCTGTCCTGGCACTGCAGGCAGTTTTCAAAGTGGTTAAAAAAAGTGTTTCCCTCGAGACGCAATACAGATAATCAGCAAAACCACAGTCCCTTCTGCCGCCAATTCCACTCCATCAAACTTTGTCTCTGAGCAGCACCGTGCATCTGAGCACAGCTCTGCTAGAGTGACTGGGGTTTCAAGCACAAATTTAAATTGGAAAAACGTCTTGCTCCTTCTTAATTTTTCCACGTACATCCGAAAGCTGCCTGGAGACTGCAGAGCCGCTGCTGCTGCACTGCCACAAGAGCGCTGGCACCACAGCATCTGCGGCACCGCTCGTTAGACCCACGGCCCAGATACAACGCAGCCACTGGTGCCCATCCCAGAGACAGGTAACATTCACAAAGGAGAGGATACGGACTCAGGTAACAAAATACACAGCGAAACACCTAATGCACACATTACCCAGGCATTTGCACCTGCCCCCAGTCAGAACCTGGAGCTGGGCCAGTTTCACGGTGGAGAAGGGGCCACCAGCTCAACCACTGCCCAGCTTCCCACCTCGGCTCTAGTGAGCAGGCGTCCGCGTGACAAAGAGCTACAATCAACACCAACCACGTAGCTTGTAAGGAGAGGCCAGAGATTATTAATAAACTCTATCTTGTCTGTCTGCTGCTTAAAAACCAACATTCACTAACCAATCACTAAAACACTGAACGGTTAAACACCGAGTCAATCAGCGGGACCTTGTGGCAATAATCAGCGCTCTGGGAGTTGTCCAGGAGAAGATCTGCTCCCTTCTCCCCACATCCTGCTCCGTCAGCAACACGGCACGGCCGCCTCTTCCCACATTCCACGTCCCGTAGGAGCTCACATAAAGAACCCGCACGTCAAATCCCGACCCGTTTTGCAGGGCTGCAACAGGGCAGCAGGCTTTGCTCCGCTCCCCTCTCTGCCATCCCCTCTCCCACTCCAAGAGAAGAGCCATCCTCTGCTCCAAAGCACTCATCCTGAGACTCTCCACGTTTCCACATAGCTGTATTTTGACTGTGCTCAAACCACTGATTAACTGTAATTAGCTTGAAGTGATGATGAAGGATCTAGTCATCATTATGCTGTTGTGATTCTGTCAGAATGCGCCTGGAATTTATGCAAGAAAACAGCAATCAGTTTCAGCAAAGCAGATAGCATTTTTTTTATTTTTATCATTCATCATGTCGGGAACCTCTGCTGTCATCACAGATCTGGTTTCTAAAGCTTTCCAGTGTGGCCCAGAGTGTTTCGGTCACTCTCCATCATTCAGAGACTGGCAGACGCTGCGGCTCCGAGCCTCTGATGAAAGAGAGAGGAGGAAACTCCAGACAAGTCCCTTCTTCCACAGAACCAGAGGCTTGGGTTATTTCCACTGAGAGATTTTTAAAACCACCAGGTCAGCACTCCCACCTCTTTCACTTGTGGCTCAAGGTCAGAGACGCAGGCTCTGGGCAGTCTGTACCCAATTCCTGCCACCACCTTCTGACCACTCTCATGCAAAGCAGGATTTGCCAGGCCTTAATCTTCTGAATTTTCCCGACAGACGCAGGACAGAAAGATAGGCGAGGTCCATGCGACACTTCCTCGGGCAGGTTTCACAGTCCCCTGCCAGCAGCCGTAGGCCTGTAAACTATGCAGCGCCACCACACTCAGTCCAAAGCCCCCTGTAACCAACCCTCTGCTCAGTTGTTCCCCCGAGACCCTGGGACCTGGTGCCATCCCGCCGGGCTGGGCTGCAGACGGACACACGGCTGCTCACCGCGCAAACTGTGCTTCGCATCTGCAGCAAGGGGGCTTTTTCTTCCCTCCAGAAACATTTGTCTCTTCTCACCCAAACACTGCAGTGGATGAAAACGCACTTTTCCAGAAAGATGAATCTTTCTGTTCTGTGCCAGTGCCAGAGCTGGCGTGGAGCTCTCTGACAAGCTAAACAAAACGGTGGGCCTAGCTGTTGTACCAAATTGCAAGGAAAAGTTCAATTCCGTTTCAACGTAATTTTTTAAACGTCAAAGAACTAAAGCAAGGAGATATGTTAAAGCCAGAACAGAAGACTCTTCAGAAATGCAGAACAAAAAAAATGTAAAACCTGAACGGAACCCAGCAGAGGTGCCTTACGCACAGGCCACAGCATCCCACCCCAGCGCCAGGCAGATGGGAGGGGGAGCAAAGATTGGATGGGAAGGACGGGGAGAAAAGGCAAGCGTGGTACCATGGGCTCTCTGGAAGGAGAACAAGTGATGCATGAGACCTCTGAAACACCCATCTTCCCAGCTACCAGCTTCGGGACCCAGGGGAGCAGCTACAGGCTCACAGCGGTGGGTCAGGGCAACGCTCTGTCACCCAGGCACGGGGAGAGCCGGGTACGAGGCTCTGTTACTGTCTCTCCCTAGGTCAGGCTGGCACTGACAAAGAAACACAAGTTTCAGCCGAGACCTGACGAACACACAAACCCGCCCAGGCATTAACGGTGAAACTTTCCCATCGTCAGAAAAGGTGCGGGACATCAAGGCAGCACGCCAGATACGTTTGTTGAGCTTGTAGTTGCTTTCCAGCTTTGTAATACTTTGAGTATTACCTCGGGCAGCAACTCTTGAATCTGGTAGCAAATTTCATCCAGCTCTCACAAATATTGAGTTCCTGCAAGTGCAAAGCAAGCAGGCGGCCTGGGAAGAGGGGCTGTCCAGCCCGCCCGCCGAGGGGACAGCAGGACACCGGCACAGCCCTTACAGGACATCGGAGGTTGTACAAAGGAGCAAGCCCCTCTGCCCACCCCAAAAACGAACGCTGGAAAGCCCAGCTGCACACACAGAGCCACAGAGAGCTCTTCAAGGCCCAGCATGCTGAAAACTGCTTGCTACCCATTCCCTGCCGCTGTGCAGTGGGCAAGCGGTCCCTGGGCAGGCCCTGGGTACAGACAGGGTCATGCTGCCCTGGGGACAGGCCTGTCTCTCCAAGTCCCTCGCCCCAGCAGGCATGCGGCCCTGGCTCAGGGTCAGCGCGCTCCGACAGATGCAGAGCCTCCCCACGCTGTCTGCAGCGGGCAGGATGCCTCCCACCAGACAGCAAGCCGAGCGCCAGGCTCCCTCTCCGGGAGATCCCACTTCCTCCTCCTCCTCCTCCTCCATGAGCTGGGGATGAAGCTGAAGAAATGAGGTGCAGCTCCCTGCTGCCACCTCCCACGCCCCGTCCTGCTCCCACCGGCTCACACTGAAGCTGTCCCACACACTGACCCTGCGCTGTGTGCGGGGACCATGTCCCAGCCGGGGACAGAAACAAGAACTGCACCCGCAGTGGCCTCGGGGCGGGACTTTCGCTTCTGCTCTTGCAGACACGAGGGCACCCTCGCAGGGCTGGAGGGACAGCGTCTCCTACGTCTGCCTGAAGTCCCTGAACCCCGGAATTTGGAAACCAGCTCTGCCTGCAGGGTCCCTTCAGCTCTTCATGGCAGCAAGAGATCAAAGACCCAATGGTCATGCCCTGCTAATAGATGTCACCAGCTCAACGCTGCAACTGCCACGTTGTCATAGCTACCGCACCATCGTTACTGCTAACGAGTTAGAGAGCACCGCTGCAGCCAGGGCTGTGCAGGGCTCTCGGAGACAGCCTGCTCGCACGGGGCCCTTCGGTCACTCCTGTTTGTCTGCTCTGGACAGACGGAAGAAGCCAACCTGAAAGCAATGGTAAACCAGGAGATCTTCACCATCCATTTAAGAGCACAGCTAAAACTTTCTGCTTTGCTGCAACCCATGTTTCCCAGCAATGTTGTATAGGGGGTGACTCCAAGGTGACCCCAAGATGGAGTGAGAGGAAAGGAGCATTTGCAGAGGAAAGGGAACGGCTCTCTGCTAAGTCCCCGGGATCACAGCCCAAAGAGACAGCGGTATTCTCAGGAGACACCTCCTGCTGCCCACTTCCAACAAGCCCAACTGGCAGGACAGGCAGCAATGGGCAGCCAGGCTTAAAAGAAAGCGGCACCAGGGGCTGCACACACCCCCCTCTTCTCTGCCCCATCACTAAGCGGGAGCATCAACTAAACCCACCACCCCGGCACTCGGCAGGAGTCAGTCACCCCCACTTCCCCAGCCCCAGGTGGATGATGTGGGGACTTGTAGCCAGGGACCAGCACCCCTCCGTTTGGACAGGCAGCCCCCAGACATATCAACGGCCAGTTTCTCCCAGTGCCACAACCCACTCGTTCCCAGGGACCAGCAGGGCAGAGGGACCCCAGCAAGGCCACGCTGATAGCCGGAAGACTGGGATGAGACACCCAGCCAAGCCCAACAGACTCCTCTAGACAGCACCAGTCAAGAGGAGACCAGGGCTAAGTGCAATTATTTCTGTTCTTTGGGGGTTTCTTTTTTTAAAAGTAGCTGGCCTAAATTCACAGTTACACTCACAAGGCCCACTTCTGGTGGAAAGCAGCTCTTACGCAAGTGAAAAGCCGCTCCCTGTGTCAGCAGTGGCAGAGTCTGTGACTTTGCACAGTCTGTGCACCGTCCTCACACCCCTCCTGCAGACGCACAAGCTGCTCTATAGAGAGCTGTGTATTTCTGGAATATATTTTTCAAACTAACCTAATGTAATTTTAAATGGATGCTTGCTTCTATGGAACTACAGTAAATCTGATAATGACTGTTCTCAAAATGTCGGGCTTCTCTCACCACCAGTGCTCGTAGCTGGTGTTCAATGGGTTTTAACATCTGCGTGTTACAAGAGGGAGGTTTATCTCACCCTGACTATTTATCGCACCCGCCTCCAAATGTCCTCCATCTACAGTCAAGCAGTTTTATACCCTCCTTCATCTCCTCTCCTCTGTGCCACCACGGTACTTACTCTGAATGACGCCTGTCAATGCCACTGAACAACTCCCACAGCTCCTCCGAGCTCAGGATCCCATCAGCGAAATAGTTCTTGAACTCCTCAAATGACAGCTTCCCATCATCTGCATTTAAATAAAAGAGAAGAATAATTATATATCTGCAGAAAGAAGCATAGAGGCCCCAGTGATCCTCCCAGCAGCCTCTCTACCGGGAGCGTGGGACGGTCGGGCGTGTTGTGCATAATAATAAGAGCAGACATCTCACTGAAAACATGTCCCACCAGTCCCCATCAAAAACCCAGGAGCGCTGGCAAGCAGGGCCACTGCTGCTGGAACTCCAGGTGGGAATTTCAGCCCCTTCCAAAAGAACCCACTGCAATGTTTTGAGAAACACATGCCGACACTCCGTACTTAGATGACTGTCCAAGCACAGAGCCCATTACAAACAGCACAGTGAGGACAGTATCAGGCTTTTATGGAAAGAAAATCTCTCCACTGACTCAAGAGCTTTCTCCTTCCTCTCTGTGGAGGATTTCAGCTCCTGGGCTGCATTCTGATCTGCAACAAAAGTGGCTCCTGGAGCCTGCAATCTACCATGAAGAAGAAGAGCCCAAGAGGGGGTGGGAAGGCTCAGAGAAACAACTCAGGATTTTGGACTTCTTGGTTTATGGGTGCCAAATTCAAAAACAGGTACCAGAGTCTAACTCTCAAACACCAGTGGCTCCACCAACACAGGAATAGGGGGCACATGTAAACCCCAGACTGAGCGCAGAGACTGAATCAGTCTCGCGAGGGACAGAGAACGAGTCTGACGGCCCCTGGGCTGCCTGCTGCACGGTTTGATTTGCCTTCCCTTCTCGCTGCTAGCATGCGGCAGAGAGACCCTGCGTGTGCGGGCAGGAGAAGGGCTCAGAAGAGGCTCTGTCCTGTGTGGTGTGTGGCTGGGGGATTGGGAGGAGCCCACCCCCCAGCCCCTGGCCAGGCTCTTTGCCCCAGTGCCTTCTCCCCCAGGCGAACAGAAAAGCATTTTTCTTGCAGCCAGAGAGCTGCTCGCCCTTCTGCTCCTTCACTCTTCCAGCCAAACCTCGCAGCGGGACCCAGGCAGGGAGGGAAGGCAGTGCTGGGAACAAAGCACTCACCGTTCTTGTCGGCTCGCCGGAAAATCTGGAAGAGAAGACACAACAGGGTTTAGTGAAGCAGCAGGGAGAGCAGCGTGGCTGAAGGGCAAGCCAGGCAGCACCGGGCCCTGCCACCACGGGATGACCACCTCCCAGAGCCCGGGGAGCCGTGGAGAAGCCCCCGCTGCCAGGGCTGCTCTGGAGAAATCCCCCTTTGCAAACAATAAAAACCATTTCTCGCCTCCAACGCGCAAATCTCTCGGCACAGCCGCTGCCGCCCGAGCAAGCCCAGCACTCGCATCGAACATCCTTTAGACAACAGAGGGAGACGAAGTAGAAAGGGCTTTGCTACACCCTTGTGATGGAAAGTGTTTAATTTTTCAGACCCTTTAAACGAAAGAACATTAAGCATAAACCCACTCCATAACCAGAGCACTTTGTGCATCACCGCTGACACTTCAACCGTCCGCACCGAGGAGCGGCTCTTGTCCTGCATTTTGTAATCACTCTTCACAACAGTCCTTCCTGTGACACCTCGACATGCACATGCACTGTAATAAATAATTAATGAATTAATTAGTCTGCAACTAATTCTGCCACAGAGCACAGTTGGAGAGCTGCTCCAGTTCAGGGTCTCAACCCAGGTTCCCAGCCATGAGGCTTCTGCCCACAGCCCAGGAGAAAGCTGGGACTTCTTCTCCCTGCCTGGCTCCTCTTTCACCAGTAATCACTGGAAGGTCCGGGGCTGACTCCGGCGAGGACCAGCACCGTTTCCGATGCCTGGCAACACCTTGCCAGATCGAACAGTCCGAGGTTTTGGCCAGCACACGCTAATGGAGCCAACGACACAAAGTTGTGTGCGCGGCAACTTTCTTCTTTTTAATCATCCTGGTTGATGCAGAAATCTGAAGGTCTGAAGAAAGATCAGGAATGAAACAGGGCAGGAAAAGGGGAAAGCGGGCTTTGTGATCTTCCTTTCCACGCACCTGCAAAGCGGAGACTGCTGATAAAACCGCCCCCGGACCAGCTCCTCTCCCCGCCGCAGGAAGACGCATCGCTGCCAGCTGCCCCCTCCGCCCCAGCTCCCTTCTGCACCGCTCACCGACAGCTTTGCTGCGCATTTTGAGGGCGGAAGCCCATATCTAGCCCCAGAATGTCCCTGAAAAATCGCTTCAGGGTGAAGAAACAGCTGCCCAGAGAAACCTCTGCTGCTGGCTCCTGAGAAAGCCACTGGCTTGCAACTGGGTGGAAGCTTTTCGGATGCTGGTCCCAGCAGGGAGCTCCCTGGTCCTCCCTGTGGCAGGGACACCTCCTCGGAGGATGCTCCTCTGAGCAAGGCAAGCTCCTCCGAGCCAGGATGCTGCAGGGAACGGAGGCCGCCCTGAGCCATACCGTCTCAGGCAGACCTGCC